CTTTCCTTTGGCAAGCTTATCAATCTTCTTAAGGATCAATCTTAGCTTCATTTTCCTTGCCCTCACAGCATAGGAAACATCAAGTCCTAAACCATATATACATGATAAATAAATTATCATGCCTCCACAAGCATCGTAGAAATTATAATTTCTTATCGTTAGTGGCTTTCTGCTAATGCAATTCTTTAGCCATGCATTAATCAAATTTCATCTCCACCCCATTGGAGATATACTCTTTCACACTATGTTCAACTTACTTTGAACATAACCTTTATCATTATGTAAATACACAATTTACAAAGTTATATCATCATGACTCAAACTTCATGTCTTGGGAACACTTCCCAATATCATCGTTACAATACAATACAAGATCACAACACAAACAACTTGGTTAGACAAACAAAAGTGTAGTATCTTCCAAGTACTTGGAATTGAAACTCATTCAAATTTACTTAAACTCTTCTCATAATATGATTATGAGTTCGTTCTCGTTTCAAATATTCCGCATCATTTAACCAAACATGAGCAGTTCATCCATCATTACTTTTGGAAATTACACATTGCACACAATTGCATGTACGTTGATCATATGCATGACTAATTAAAATGACAATCCAGTCACCATATCCAAGTGGCATGGCTATCGCGAGCCAGTGCACTACCACTACCAGTCATAAGGCACTCAATGCCATCCCTTCTTTCAAGTGACAGACAGGAACAAACCAATATATATACCATATATATCATCCATTCTCACATATGGAGTTAGAGAGGAATAGAGTGTTACCGATTTGAAAGGAATGACAAAATGCCTCTTATGAGTAATATCCTTCCGGAAGCAACCAGTAGAGATAACCTTTTTTTCTCATTTTGTCCCTCTGATCTCGGAAATGACTGCCAAGTGCTTCTTTTACCTTCTCCGGTAATCAACCAACCAGTAGAGAGCAGAGCAGTTTCAACCATATTCATGCAATTTGTTCATTTCTAGCCGCTCCTTCATCATCTCGGTGACCAGATCATTAAAAGGCATGGTGAACCGAATAGAAACAAAGAAATTGAAGGCATGCAAATCCATGATATATGCACGGTTAAATAAAGGTTAATATTTTCGTATGGCATTAACTTTCACCAAAATAAATATCATGTCCAATCTTTTCGATCTATAACATCCTGGCTCAAACTATACACCAAAATAAACAATTTGGCCAGATCCGACTTTTGACCGTTAACTTGGACGGTCAAACGCGTTGACTGTTAGTCAACACGCCATGTCACTGCCAAGTCAGCATAAAATATTTAAAATAATTCACAATTTCCAAAAATTCTCTAATTTTAAATTATTATAAATTAAAAAAAATAATCTAATACCTTAGTTAAACCAAAAATAAAAAACGGAAAAATTAAATATTTATCAGATCTTCAGACTTGGCAGTGACGTGGCGCGTTGACCGTTAGTCAACGCGTTTGACCGTCCAAGTTAACGGTCAAACATCGGGTTGGCCAAATTGTTTATTTGGTGTATAATTCGGGTCAGGATGTTATATATTGAAAAGATTGGCCAGGATGTTTATTTTGGTCAAAGTTTAGGCCATACCAAAATATTAACCCTTAAATAAATCAAATTGTTCACTAACCAAACCGTGTATATATATACCTAGCAATTTGACCATGGCAATTGTAACGGTCATCATATCATTAACCAATTCCCTTGAAGCCGAAGGTACCGAGTGTTCCAACAAAAACTACATCATCAAATACTAGATGCATGCATGGATGCTAAGGAACATTTATTAAAATCTTTAAATGAATCCACAAACCACAAACACATAACCGTTTCCATTTTCATGCATGAACATCCATTTTTTTTCCCCGGTAATTATGAACACCCAATTTTACGGGTCCGGATCCCCTCAGTAACCAATATATCAGTAACCATCAGTAACCGCCCTATCAACCGTCCATTCCATCCGCTTTTCAACCGTCAGATCAAGCAAAAGTAACTACACCGGGGGGGGGGGGGGGGGGGGGGGGGGGGCAAAATAGTAATCTTTCCATCTGACAATTTGAAAAGGAGACGTGACATTAAACCGTGCCCGACTTCTTTCCTTCTTTCTCTCACCTTTCACGCGACAGTTGCACTTCCCTCTGCTCTCTAACTCACCATTCTTCATCCAATCGCGCACCAAAAACTTCAGAAGACACAGAATCATTCAACGATTTTAGCTAAGGTTTTCGAAGAATCATTCAACGATTCACTGTTCTCGCTTCTTCGTTGAAAAACGAAGGGTTTCCAACTTCAACGAGGCTCAAAAATAGTTTTCGCACAAAATATCAAGGTAAAACCTCACTTCTTTCTTCAAAATCCATCCATAGAATAATAGAAACAGTATTTCAGTCACTCTTCATGTGAAAATTGTAGTAAAACTCGCTACATTATCGAATCGTTAGCATGCGTTGCTGAACTGGTGTAGAATCTGTTGTGTTTTGCTTCGTTACCACATGGTAATGTGTGGTAAGCTATAGTTTCATGTTGTAAAATAGCAAAAAACCATAATTTCTTCTGTGTTTTAGTTTGTTACCATATGGTAATGTGTTAAGCTATGGTTTCATGTTGTAAAATAGCAAAAAACCATAAGTTCTTCTGTGTTTTAGTTTGTTACCATATTGTAATGTGTGGTAAGCTATGGTTTCATGTTGTAAAATAGCAAAAAACCATAAGTCCTTCTGTGTTTTAGTTCGTTACCATATGGTAATGTGTGGTAAGCTATGGTTTCATGTTGTAAAATAGCAAAAAACCATAAGTTCTTCTGTATTTTAGTTCGTTACCAATATGGTAATGTGTGGTAAGCTATGGTTTCATGTTGTAAAATAGCAAAAAAACATAAGTCCTTCTGTGTTTTAGTTCGTTACCATATGGTAATGTGTGGTAAGCTATGGTTTCATGTTGTAAAATAGCAAAAAACCATAAGTCCTTCTGTGTTTTAGTTTGTTACCATATGGTAATGTGTGGTAAGCTATGGTTTCATGTTGTAAAATAGCAAAAAACCATAAGTCCTTCTGTATTTTAGTTCGTTACCATATGGTAATGTGTGCTAAGCTATGGTTTCATGTTGTAAAATAGCAAAAAATCATAAGTCCTTCTGTGTTTTAGTTCGTTACCATATGGTAATGTGTGGTAAGCTATGGTTTCATGTTGTAAAATAGCAAAAAACCATAAGTCCTTCTGTGTTTTAGTTTGTTACCATATGGTAATGTGTGATAAGCTATGGTTTCATGTTGTAAAAATGGAGGAAAACATAAGTCCTGTTGTGTTTTAGTTCGTTACCATATGGTAAGATCTTATAAGACATGGTTTGATGTAATTACCATTTGGTAAAATGTGATAAATATATGGTTTGATTAGGTATGGTAGGAAACCATTATGGTACCATATGGTATATTATGGTAAAAAGCATACTAACAGACTATTACTAATTTCTACATTCAGGTACACTATGGTAAAACCAAGACAAAGTTTTCGCACAAGGTGCAGCCCAACAAGAATATCTGCAATTGCAAGGTCAATAACAGATGAGCGGAAAGCGCAACTTGAGATATTAGGCCTATCAGGCTTAATATCATTCAGGCAGACAAAGATAAACAATCATTTTGCTCTGTTCGTAATGAACAAATACAATCCAATGAAAGAATCGTTCAAGCTACCTGACGGGACACGCATGAAGATATCACCAATTGACTTTCATAGAGTATATGGTCTGCCGATGGGGAATAGGGAAGTTGTACCTCCCATGATTTCTTGGGATGACGCAGCAGATTATGCAGTAGAAACCCTACTCGAAGTAGATGGAACATCCACTCCAAGGGTAAAGCTAAGTCAGGTAGAAAAAGATCTTCCTACAACTCCAAACAATAAGAGATGGTTACAATTTTTCTTTCTGCTGGTCACCGGAGGCTTGCTGTGTCCAACTTCAACACCTATGGCTGAACTCAACATGCTTGAGTACTTGAAGACTGAAGAACTGAAACATTTCACCAGCTACAACTGGTGCAAATACTTCTTCAAACACATGAATGAAGGATTGAAATCACCAAAACTCTATGTCAGTGCAGATCTTCACTTCCTTACAGTAAGTCTCCATTCCCTTGGCCATTTCAACCTTGTTACTCATATATTTTACATATAAATGATAATCTTTGAAAAAACTAATACAACTATCTGCATAAAAATGGTATGCTTCATGTACAAACTGGACGAAATGGCATTCTCAACCCAGCTTCGAACACCAATAGTAAGCTACTATGATGATCTCAATGTCGAAACAAACTTTGAGAACATTAAGAGCTACTACAATGGAAAAGAGTTGACCGAGATCGAAAAGGTTGCCAACATTAATGATGATGAGGCTGATGATGCAACTGATGAGGAAGAGGAGAATGAGCCAGTCTATCAGTCACCGAAAAAACAAAGAAACAAAACTCCAGACCAGTCATCATCACTGAACTTTGATTTGAAGAATATCAGAACAGTCAACCAAGTAAGTACAAATTATCTATATTACAGTTGTCCAAATACATGCTAACCGTAATTCCTTCTGTGTTTTAGTTGGTTACCATATGGTAAGGTGTGGTAAGCTATGGTTTCATATTATAAAAATGGAGGAAACCATAAGTCCTGTTGTGTTTTAGTTTGTTACTATATGGTAATGTGTGGTAAGCTATGATTTCATGTTATAAAAATCAAGGAAAACATAAGTCCTGTTGTGTTTTACTTCGTTACCATATGGTAATGTGTGGTAAGCTATGGTTTCATGTTATAAAAATGGAGGAAACCATAATTCTTGTTCTGTTTTACTTTGTTACCATGTGGTAAGATATGGTTTCATGTTATAAAAATGGAGAATTGTGATAATAATTGCCAATACCATATATTACCACCATGGTAACTAACCATACATCATACACATATTACCACCATGGTATCTTACAAAACTCCCATTATGCAGGCTGAGAATGCAATCAAACTGCTTGAAGCATCAATGAAGGCAATGATGAAAGCAATCAAAGACCAGTACAACAGCCAAATTGAGAATCTGATCAGACACAAGGAGAATCTTGAGAAAGAAAACTGTGATGAATATGTTCAGCCCACAGAAGGAGAAAAATCTCAGTGTGAAGATGATGAAGAAGAGAATGATGAAGAAATGAATGCCAGTTTGGATAAAACAATCAATGAAATATTCAAACAGACAAAGATAGACAAGAACAAAGAGGAGAACGAGGAGCAAACACAGAAAGAAGATGATTCACAACCATCTACAGTCGATCTTGCTGCATCTACACCGAAGGAGCAAGATGATTCTGCTCCAGCAGCTGTGAATAAGGAAAGTATCCAAGAAGGAGATCCACTGGGGAAAGTTGCAACAGAACCACCAGCTGTTCAAGAAGATCTGAATCAGGGAACACCACAACAAGAGAACACCCCGAAAGCAGTTCCAGAACAGACATCTGCAAAAGAAACAGAAGAAAAAAGAGCTACAAAAATAGCAGATCCAATGGATGTTGATAAGGAAATAACAGAAGAAGGTAATACAGGGCAAGCTGCACAAAAGACTACAGAAACTGACAGCGAGAAAACGGTGTCAGATGATGTTGTTCGAGAATAGACTCCAAAATTGACAACCAAAGCTGTTGAGAAGCCTAAAGTGACAAGGGAAGATGACATTCCATCCTTCGATCTCAGCCCTCTCAAAGATCAAACACCAACAACACCAACAAAGTTGACTACCACCACGGCAACCAATCAACCAGGAGAGCCTCGCAAAAGAAGAATTGTGGTGAAGAATTTGAATGTATATGAAAAGAAGGCAAGAACACCACCACCACCAACACAGCCACAAAGCACCCAGTCACAGACGGAGTCATATGCTATATGGTCAAATCTGTACACAAACAGCCAAGAGAGGCTCAAGGAAGTGTGTGAATGCATAGATGCTTACCTGGAGGACCTGAATACTCCAACTGTTGATCCAGTTGCTCCACAATCACAAAGATCGCAAGTTGAATGGTCAACACCACACAAACAACACCTGATGATATGTTCAGCAACATCCTGGAGTACATAAGATGCAAGAAAAAGAAATTTGTCAAGAGGTAAGTCATCATCTTAAAACTTCTACTGTTATATGATTTTACTGTAGTCATCTAATTTGTTACCATATGGTAAAATATGGTAAAATATGGTAAAATTAGATAAATCTATGGTTTAATCATAGAAAATGTAGTAATCCACAATTCCAGTTTTGTTTTAGGTTTAATACCATATGGTAAGATATGGTAAGCTATGTTAAGATTATATAAATCTATGGTTTAATGTTACAAAATGTAGTAATGCACAAGTCCTGTTTTGTTTTAGTTTAATACCATATGGTATGATGTGGTAAGCTATGGTTTGTTGTTAAAGAATGGATTAAACCATAACTCCTGTTGTGTTTTAGTTTATTACCATATGGTAAGATGTGGCAAGATATGGTTTGTTGTGGTAACCTATTGTTTAATGTGATAAATTAAAGTAAACCATCTGTCCTGTTGTGATGTGCTTTTATACAGTAATGAGATAATGTTTAGAAGGAAGGATGGAACATTCTTGCTGAAAAGGGAGTCAGTATAGTCGATTGACATTCGTTGTGAAATCACATCTGATGTCATCGACTGGTATGGAGATCTAATGAACAGGAATGAAGCAAAAAAAGGGAAATTCAAAAAGTGGTTCTTCGTTACATCTTTGGCAGTAAGTAAACCCACCCATATTCTGTCAATAGTTCTTAGACAACACATATATAAAACACATAATAACAACCGCAACTTTCAGGGTGACTGCCAACTGGACATTGAAAGTGGCAATCCTCTACTAACTCCAGACGAATACTACGACAAAGCGGACTTGGACATCACCAACAAAGAATGGGCAAAAAACCTCAGCTTCACAGAATGTAACCTTGTAAGTGGTTACCATATGGTATATTGTGGTAAAATTAGTTTGCAGTGGTTACCATATGGTATATAGTGGTAAAATTAGTTTCCAATGGTTCTTAACTTACTGTTCAACACTTATATGGCAAGTGCTTACCATATGATACACTGTGGTAAATTTATTTTGCAGTGGTTCTTCCCTTACTGTGATAACAAGCACTACATCATGATTTGTGTCAACATCAAAGCAGAGAGATTTGAAGTACTCGACAGTCTCCACCACAAAGATTTTGAAAAATACTACAAACCAATGGCAAAGAGGGTTGTCCAGTACGCAATCAACTACATGAAGACACAGTTTGCAGAGAAGACAGTAAAGTGGGAAATGTTTACCTGGTTCAACCTCGAGAAGGTTACACAACCAGATGACAAGTCATGTGGGATGTACATCATCAGGTGGATGAGACACTGGGAAGGTAAGTACAACAGTTCCCTGACCAAAGACTGGAAGAGGATTGATCTCATAAATGAAGAAAGGGAGTGCCTGATGTTGGACATCATTCTGGATGAGGACAATCTTGAACGGGATAGGATCATGAAAGAATCAACAAAGTACTGCAACATGAAGAACAAGAGGAAGAATTGAAAGAAAGGAGATGAAAATTCTATTATGGTTTGTGTTAAGTAGTAGGAGGGTATGAGACAACTTATTATGGTTTGTGTTAAGTAGTAGTAAGCTTTTGAGAACAAACTCACAATGTTCAGTAGCCACTTCATTCTAGTTAGTAGGATGGTATGAAAAAACTTATTATGGTGTGTTTTATGACTAAGTAAAACGTTCTGTTTTTTATTATGTTAGGAAATACTTAACATGTGTTCTTAATTCCCAAATTACCACATTTTACCACATGGTATTGCATGGTAAAATCAAACTACCACACTATACCACATGGTATGGCATGGTAAAATCTAATTACCACACTATACCATATGGTATGGCATGGTAAAATCAAACTACCACACTATACCACATGGTATGGCATGGTAAAATCAAATTATCACACTATACCACATGGTATGGCATGGTAAAATCAAACTACCACACTATACCACATGGTATGGCATGGTAAAATCAAATTACCATACAATACCATATGGTATGGCATGGTAAAATCAATTATCACACAGAACCCTCACATTTAGCTTCCAAATTACCACATTTTACCACATGGTAATGCACTGTAAAATCAATTACCACACAGGACAACACATGCCACTACCAAAATAGCATATTTTACCACATGGTATGGCATGGTAAAAATAAATTACAACACTATACCATATGGTATGACAAATGTAAAATCAATTATCACACAAAACTTCCAAACTACCACACTATACCACATGGTATGTCATGGTAAAATCAATTATAAAACAGAACCTTCACATTTAACTTCCAAAATAGCACATTTTACCACCTGGTTTGACATGATAAAATCAAATTACCACATTATACCACATGGTATTACATGGTAAAATTAATTCAACAAGACAAGAAAAATATCCAACAAAACCAAAACCAATCCAAAAGAACAAAATAGCTTCAACAACTTAACCAGCTTCAACCATTCATTCAAATAATCCTCTAAGAAAACTGTTACAGCTTCAGCCTTAAACTTTCTTCAACAGCCTTCAAATGCTCCTCCTCAAGCCTGTTAGTTTTTCTCTTCTTCTTACTTAGAGCCCTTGCAGCCTCCGCAACTGGAATTGGTCGTTTCGAAGGCTTGAATGAATCTTTTTTAGGCTTAAACCCCTTCACTTTTTGGACCGGTACATCATCTATAACAAGATAACAAAAACAAACTACAATCAATGACAGATATATATATATAATCATTATCCTCAAAAAATTGCATATATCATAACACAAAACTCTAAACAATTAAAAACTTACTATCACCGTTAGAAGACGTGCTTGTTCCAGCAGGCTCATTAATCGATAGGGCTTCACACTTTTTGATCAAATCAGTCATGAAGGCCATGGCTGATTTATACAAATCATCATCCATTGAAACCCTGCTGATCATTGATGCAGAAACAGCTGACAGATTGAAAAGACGAGAACGGTATTTCGATGGACTATCAGTAGACGGAACTTCAAAAGAAAAGTTCCCTCTAGTTTTTGCTGCTCTTGTCCACCGCTTCAAAATCAAACTGCTAGGAATGTGCTGGAACTTCAGATTGCATGTTGTAGACCACAACATATCATATCCCTTAATTTGATGCTTACAGATCAAACCACTTGACTCCCACTTACGGCAGGAACACTTGATTTCACCGTTATCAAAATCAACCTTCAACACCCTACTATCCAACCTAGTATGGTCATCCTCCAATATGAAGACATCAAACATTCCTACATGTCCTTCTGGTTCTATCTCTGTATTTGAAAAAATATTATACGCAAGAGATTCCTTGTACTGATCCAGGAAAAACTTGAATATCTTCGGCGTATACACATTAGCAACTTGCTTCACAATAGGGCTAGTAGAAAACCGAGAATCAGCCAACCTAGATAAGGCATAGTACTCTTCTTGTTCTTCAGCATCCCTCTTATTATCCAGCATCCTCTCAAAGTGCACAAAGAATCTACTAACGCTAAACTCTGACTGCAAGTAATGTCGAATATTACTATTGCAGCACTCACTTAGCTGGGTACTCTTCATTCCTGCACCAAAATAATTATTCACCCAGGCTGAAGACCACTTCTTCCTGACTTTGTAAACGCCCTGTAACCAACTGTGTCCCAAAGGTCCCTTCCCAGGAAAACACTTCTCAATCATCTTCTTCCAATTATACTCAAAATCATCCTCATCATCAGCATTATACATCAAATAACTAAGCTCACGAAGGAAGTCAGAGTCACACAAACTTCCCAGATTAACAACTGCATTCTGAGCAATATGCCATGTACACAAACCATGAAAACAATCTGGGAAAACAGACCTTATACCAGCAGCAATTGCAGCAGCCTGGTCAGTAAACATTGATAACGGTCTCACACCTCCCATGCATTTCAAAAACTGATCGAAAAGCCATTCAAATGTTGCCGTTGTTTCATCATATAGAAGAGCAGCCGCAAAGACAGTCAGTTGGTGATGATTGTTGAAACCAACAAACAAAGCTACAAAAACATAAGAAAATGTGAGTAAAAACAATTCTACCAACACATACCATGTGGTAAAAGGTACGAATAACAATAATACCAACCCGCACCATATGGTAAAGACTTCTAAGAACAAAAAAAACAATCCATACCAGACCATACCATATAGTACAGACTTCTAACAACACAAAAACCACCTCAAATAACCTTGTTACCAACCCATACTATATGGTAAAAGACTTTTAAGAACAAAAACACAATCCATACCAGCCCATACCATATAGTACAGACTTCTAACAATGCAAAAACCACCTCAAATAACCTTGTTACCAACACATACCATATGGTAAAATACTTTTAAGAACATAAAAGCAATCCATACCAACCCATACCATATGGTACAGACTTTTAAGAACAAAATAACCATGATACAGAATGATAATAATAATAATCATACAAACTCACAAAGACAATAATAAACAACAAACTAGAAAACATACCTAGTGGCCGATACTCTTTGTTAGTCCGGTAAGTAGTATCAAAACTAATTGAATCACCAAAATAATGATAATCCATTCTCATCTTCCCATCTGCCCAAAAAATACTAGCAATGTTCTCTTCAACATCAACCTCCACCTCATGAAAGAACCCAGGATCCAGCTGTGCTTGACGTCTAAAGTATTCAAGCAATGCAGTCGCATCACCATACTCCATTGATAACGTCCTCACCGTTCGCAGATGGTTCTTCAAATCATTCTTTGTGAACCCAACAAACTTCCGACCACCACCAGCCCTACTAATTGCATTATACGAAGAAGTCACACCAATACCAGCAGCATCATTCACCTCTGCCAACATCTTATACACAGGAGCCATTCGTCTGCTGGATCTCACATAGTGACGCAGAGACTCAGGAATCATGTCATGGTTGTGCACATTATACCAACGATAGATCTTGTAGCATTTAAACTCTTTAAACCACCTCAGTCGTATATAAGCACCATTACATCCACCCCTGAGTTCTGGAACATTACGAACAAGAACATTCGTATCAACAACACCTGCATTATCAGGGTTATTCTCGCTACCTCTTCTCCAACCTTCCTTATTGCAACAATACTTGATATAATATACAGCTGAAGAACCACCATTGAGCTTCAGAAACGCTGATTGATTATAAATCCTCACACCAAAACCTTCATGATTCCCATAATCCACATAGAAATTGTATGCATCATCCGGTGTATTAAACTGTAAGTCCTTCCAAGAATCACGAACAGTAGGATCTATACCATTGAAACCTATAAACATTATGAAGCAACATATTAAATATGTACAATTATAATACCACCATGGTATGATATGGTAAAATGAATTTCATGCCACAACAGAATCACATCTCATCACATTACCACACTATACCACATGGTATAGCATGGTAAAACCAAATTACCACACTATACCACATGGTATGGCATGGTAAAATCACATTACCACACTATAGCACATGGTATGACATGGTAAAATCACTTACAGCAGCAACAAAAATCCCAAAAACACACACTATACCACAAACTATACATGATAACATCAAATTACCATATTTTACCACATGGTATGACATGGAAAAATCAATTATCACACATAACCCCACCTTTAACTTGAAACTACCACACTATACCACATGGTAAGGCATGGTAAAATCAAATTACCATATTTTACCACATGGTATGACATGGTAAAATCAATGATCACACATAACCCCACCTTTAACTTGAAACTACCACACTATACCACATGGTAAGGCATGGTAAAATCAAATTACGACACTATACCGATGATTCCAACCATGGTACAAGTAATTACCACCATGGTATGATATGGTAAAACTTAAATACAGAGCGCAATAACATCACAACACAACACTATATTATCACCTCTCATCGTATACCAGTAATTACCACCATGGTACCATATGGTATCTAACACATTCAAACTTCAATAAACAAATTTGTATATCTTACCTCCTGATTCACCAGAATTAGCTGAATGACCAAATCCAAGATCGATAGATGAAGAAGCAGTTCCAACAACGCTAGATGAAGAACCAGATCCTACAACGCTGGTTGAAGAACCAGATCTATCAAATGGAACAACATCGCCACAATTTACGTAACTCATCTCACCAGAATACTGCAAAAAAACCAAAACAGAAAGAACATAACACATGAACAAGCTCGATTAGCTAAACAGAACACACAAAAGAAACTCAGAGAAAGTAAATTCTACAAAACCTACAACGAAACCAAAGAAACTCAAACACGCTCGATTAGCTAAACATGAACAAGCTCGAATAGCAGCAATGAAAAACCTCCAACGAAACCAGAGATCGTCAAAACACTCAACAAAACCAAAGATAAACAGAAAACTCGATTAGCTAAACAGGAAGAATCAAAAAAACTAATATCTAACCTCGCCGTCGATCAATTATGGAGAATCAGAAAGCTCGATTCGATTAGCTGCTACTCGCAGTTTCCATCGCCGTCGATCAATTATGGAGAATCAGAAAAGATTCGCCGTCACCTGTTTCTCAGCTGCTGCTCGCAGCTTTCTCTCTCCAAAAACCGAATTCAACTCGCGCACACGTCGATCAATTAGGGAGAATCATAAACCTCGATTCGATTAGCTGCTGCTCGTCGATCAACTATGGAGAATCGCCGTCCCCTGTTTCTCAGCTGCTGCTCGCAGTTTCCCTCTCCAAAATCCGAATCCAACTCGCCCACAGAAAAAGATCCGCAACGGACAAAAGGGGGAAGTCATTAATTCAAATTTCGGACAAAATTGCCCCTGACCATCACCGCATCAACCACAGCCACACGATCAGCCCGGCCCAGATCTACGGTCCTAAGGTGGTTACTCACGGGTGAGTAACATAGGGTTACTCACCCTATCCCAAGCCGAATTTTACTATGGCAAACACACATATAGAGATTAACAAAAAAAAAAAAAAAAAAAACAGGCACAGATTAACAAAAAAGCCCAAATCTAGTAGATCCAGAGTCCGAATGCAATTGTTCCCGAAACCAAACAGAATACGAGTAACAAAATTAATAAGATTCTTTAAAATTGTTGTGGAATTTGTTTACGTATATTAAATCTTGCAAAACAAGTAACATGTAAGATAATGAAAAATTATGTAAAAACACATATGACTGTCCTAGCCGACAGAATTCACTGTCTCTCCTTAAAGAATATTATTCCCCTCTAGTACCCAAGATTATGGGAATGACTCCTCGCAAGATAGAAATGACGTACCTTTTCTGGCGTAGCGGTACCTCAAACCCCGGAAACCATCAAACGCAGCGAACCGGCGAGAACCACACTTGACTCGATTTTCTCTTCGAAAAACAATGCAGAAAAATCACTTTAGATTTTGGCAGAGTTTTGGTATGGGAAAACGTATGTTTCTTGTCGTCAAAACTAGAGGGGGTATGGTGCTATTTATAGAAAATGAAGGGGTGCGTACGAAGGGAGGCGACTCTTTATATGGGTGGTTACACCCAAACCAACACATTGGTTCATTTTAAAATAATGAACCATTGTATCGGTTCGGCCCATGATAGTTGGACCGGTTTGGTTCAACTCGGTTGGTTTAGTCCGTTTGGTTACACAAATAAATTTAACCGATTAACCACATATTACATCAAATCGATCAAATTCGAGTCGTGCCTTTCCTTATCTTACCAACATGGTACTTCAAGAGATTCTCTTGGATCTTTCCCCTTTCATTTCCATTTACACCATTAAAAAATCCCAACAGAGCAGTAGGTGAGTTTATGTGGATTTGGGTAAATTTAGATCCACCATTACATGGTGGATGAAGAAGAAAAATGACCCACACCTACCCAACATGTACTTGTGGGTGGGTTGGGTGATTGCGGATGGTGTGCAGTTGGTTGGATTCGGTGGGTTTATAACATATATTCCAAAATTCAATCCATCCGCACCCACCCAAACCTTTATGGGTCATCTAATTTAGAACCCACACCCACCCATATGAACCACCCACAACATAATTGGTTGGTCATTTGTGGGTGGTATTGGGTGGATTGGTGGGTTGAACCACCCAATGCTTACCCCTACTTTTGGGTAAAGCTATGGTGGGTTACGTAATCTAGTCCTTACTATCAATGTGAATGCCTTGACGTTGAGGCCTTTGAAGGTATAACGTGCATAGCCATGCATGGCTTGTTCTAGGCGTTGGGATTACAGCATGTGTACGAGATCAACAGGGCAACAACTTCACCTTAGAGCAACTATCAACAACGTTGGTGGTTAGATCAAGCTTTTCAGTTTGATTAATAAGGTGTGTGGTTAAAGGGGACTAGAGTAGTTTTCGTTATCAGTGTATGCATTTAGGTTCATGTTATGCATTTTAGTTCTTGTTTTATGTTCAATCATTCCTTATATGCTTTCATATTAAGTTAATTTGTTTACATTCAGTCATTACGTTAAGTGTGCATAGCATCACGAAGTATCAGTAAACTAAGTTTTAAGGCATTGAAGTCTAAGCTAGACTTGTGCAAGTTAATAAGTTGGATCTTCCCATTGTGTGGGAGATCACCAAGCTTTTCAAGTACTCAAGCAAGTATAAATAATTAAATCCCTCCATGATATGAGAGGTTAAGATAAGAAAGCGTAAGAACTATCATGTTAATAAGTACGAATGAGTAAGAGCATGTTTAGTCCTTGCTTAGCTAGCTACGCACGCAGTACAAATCTCCATTGTGTGGGTGTTTTCGCCTTAGATAGGCGCAGGATCACCATTTTATGGGTGTTTGCCTTCGATAAGCACAATGAACATGTTCATGATCCCCATTGTGTCGGTATTTCACCTTAGATAGGTGCATGTTATTAGTTCGTGCTCCCCATTGTGAGGGTAGTTGTTTACACATAAAAATTATCTTGTACCACATTGATGAGCTACAAGGTAATTAAGGGTTTTATAAGGCCACATTCATTAAATCAATTAATGTTATTTAACTTGATCCTTATTGATATTAATTTTAAGCCCAAGCCACTAAGTCATAGTGAGCATGGACATTATTCAATGAAGGACATGGGCCCCTCGTAGGAGGCTATGTCATGCCACGAGATTGTATAAAAATATTATAAGTCTTGATAGGCACGTGCCGCTTCAACAAGGAGGGTCATGTCCCTCTAGAAATCAAGAACGACGTGCCGCTTCAACGAAGAGGGCCATGTACCTCTAAAATCTAGAGGCACATGGCGCCTTAACTAGAATGGCCATGTCCGTCTAGAAATCAAGGAGCACATGCCGCCCTACGACCAATACCGAATGACTAAAAAATAAACTAAGTCTGGAAGAGGTACATGCCTCTTCAAGGAGAAGCACATGCTGCTTCAACGAGGAGGGCCTTGTCCGTTATTGGAGTCATGTGATCATGCCACGTGAAGCGAATATCTAAGGAGACAAAATGACTAAGTCTGAGAGGTCCATGCCCATTCATGCGAAGGGGCATGGATGCGAGTCAAGAAGGCACTATTGAAAAATATTAAGTATGGGAAGTCCATGGTCGTGGATGAAGTGATCATGCCGCTTCATGACCAAGACCGAACAAACCAAAATATTTTAAGCCTGAGAAGGCCATGTCGCCTCACGAAAAGGGCCATTTGCACGATTAAGAGGTCCATGGTTGTGTCATGTGATGGCCATGGACGCGAATTAAGAAGCATTAGACACAATTGAAAATACTAAGTCTGGGAAGGCCATGCCCCCTCATGAGAGGGGCCATGTGCATGATTGAGAGGTCCGTGCCACCTCACGAGAGTGCCCATGGACACGAATGAGAAGG